GCCTGCGCCTTTGAGACCGTCCCCTGCTCTGATCTCCAATGTTGGAGGTATTTCAGGGTCCCAGGTGGTTGGCGGAATGGTATTTGATCCCCAACGAATGTGCTGGCTTAAAGCTCCGGGCTCCCGACCAAGCAGCAAATCTGGGCCTTCCCTTTCTGTTGATGAAGAGGAAGACGTCTTTGCTGGCCTTGATGATCTCGAGGATCATCCACGAAAGTCAATTACAGCTATCTCCAGCGCCCCATCCTCCCCCAGTTGTGTCGAGGCAGATACCGCCAACCTGGATGACAAAAGTGGAGGCGAGTCATCAGACGAGTGGGCGATCACAGAAGAGTTTGATGTTGGGCCTGAGTTCATCAGGCGACAGCGTGCTGAGGAAGAAAAATGGAGGCGGAAAGTTGGCAAGTGGATAAATGAAGACCGAGCCAACCTGGGGGATGAATGGCGCTGGGCCATTCGTAACCTAGTCTGCAAGGGCAAAGTTGGATGAAATGACTTGCCCAATCTGTTATATCCTGCTCTATTCACATACCCCTTTATCCTATATCATGTTATATTTTGGAGGTGAAGGTTGCTTCGATGCTCCACATTATTCAATACCCACGATAGAATTGCGAAGCGATGTTTTATGTTGTGTTGTTTCTCCATCCTACTATACCTCTCATTTCCAGGTATACATATTCATTTGGTTGCAACATGCGCATGGCTGCGATACAGACCAGCCAACTTCGGGTTGGGGTTGGATGCGGCTTTGGTTTCCAAACTTTTTGGTCTTATGGTCTTGTTGTTTGCTTGTCTGTTGAATCATTTCACTGGTTTTCTGTTTTTTATGACGATTTATCACGAACATCTCCATCTGGGTGGGAGCTATATACGGGCAAGATAGAAGGGGATTATTATCCGCTCATCTCCGTCATGTTAACCCCCGTTAATGACTTGACGACATATATTAATTAGTAGGAGTTTAATTAATGATAGCATTTTCTGAGTTTCTATCCTTAGTCGGCCTGCACTACAAAGCGAAGCATAACCTACCCATTCATCCATCTTGTGCAAGCGAAGTTTACTACTCGGCCGGGTATTAGCAGCTCCTTAACAGAGCCGTTAAGAGGGTGGAGGTTATTTGCAGTCATATATTAACACTCAATTTGGTTTTTCATGCCTCCGTTGTGTGCACTTGGTCGTTATATCTTGCTGGAGTGCTTCGTATAGGACACAAATACCTAGCTGCGGACAGGAGAGTACAAGATATCCGGACCGAATTGGCTTGCACTGAATAATAGTCCAGCTATTTCAGTTGCTCAAACAAATAACCATCGTTTAGACATTCCTAGCCTATATAGCAGGAGTATGGGCTTGTGTCGACTATATGCACATGCTGCCACTTGTCCCTAAATCCCAACTCCATCTTTCGAAGCGTCGAGAACGGGGAAAAGGAATTAAGAACCAGCGAGGGCCGCGATATATACACGGATGAGGCAGACTCCGGCTATTATTACTCGTATATTTCGTAAGTACTTACCTTGTCCGCCTGGTTCCACGGGTCTCCAGGGTTGCTATACAACCTCGATGCTGCGAGATATTACCAACAGCTTTCACCACGACCACGCAACACTATATGTTTATACATCTCGTATATATGTGGTACGTCCCAGCAGTCGAGGGTGATCTGTAAGCCTGCTCGTACATGAGCTTCCCGGTTAATGAAGTTAATGAATCTACTGACGTCATGCCATAAGTCTATATAAGCTTGCGGTGGTTAATGGCCAGGGCCATGGCCGTGGTCGTGGTGGTTGCAGTTGTTGACCGTGGCCATGATTTCTGACATAAGAGGCGCTGCTGGGCATGCAGCCGATGTTCATGGATCAGAATAACGACGATCCCGACTCTGAACCCTGGAAGCGCTTCTCTTTCATCCTTGGACTCGGGGTGTGCGTCTAGACGGGTCATTACCCAAGGAGATATTGTCTGGAGTACTCGGAAATGCATATCCATTGGCCTTAGCCTGAAACCCCAGAATCATGGAGTAAGTACTCCATACGCGTAACTACATCCCCATCTTGCCGTTATATGCAGTTGCGATCATGCCAAGTTAGTTAAACACACAACAATACGAATGTCTTCTTTTAAAGAGAAGCTCGCCTGTGCACCGCTGTGCTTCCTGGAGGGGGGAAATAAGTCAAGCCTCCCACCCCCCAGCGGCAGGATCTGCACCTATGACTTGGTCTTGCATCGCTCACAGCCATGTTTAATTTTTCCCAACTGCGAAATCATCTTTGTTCTCTCCCTGGCTTGCCGCCCAGCCCTCTGGTTCAGGCTGATTCGAGCGTCGAGAGGGCTTCTCTGCTTAACCACCTGTATCAGGATGTATTGGTGACTCCACGAACTTGCAAGTTATCATTCGATCCTGAAATCGGGAGCCTTGAGTTTGTATATACGAGAGCACCTTACATGCGCAGGAACCACAGGTGTGGGCAAGCGCTAGCACTGCAGGTAAGGGCACTTCCCGTCGTCCCCGTCCCTTGTTTGCCCCTCCTCTCTCCCTCGATCCGTTTGTCAAGGGAGGGTGGCTGGCGGGATGGCAACCCGTTCGTGAGCAGACGGAGATATTTTTTATGTTAAATAACCACCGTATTTATAACCAACTAACTACTCAGCGCCCCTGGTTAGTTACCGCTTTGCTTCTCTCCTGCTGCCCATCCTCGCCGATTCAACGGGGAACGCCGTTCCGTGTTGACTATTCTGTATGGAGTACTTACTGACTACTGAATGTCAAAGGAGGGCAAAGCGAGGCCAGGGTGAAAGGGACGGTTCTGGCCAAACATATTCTTCCCGTTGGTACCTCCTCCACCCCGGCATCTACCATGGATTCTCAGCCAGTCGAATTTCCTGGAAAAGTTTGATTGGCTTTCGCTGGACCCTATTCGTGGGAATTTAGCTATTCCCTTGGTTTCTATCCTGTCTGAGCGGCTGCAGCAGTACACGAGGTTTATCTCAATGACATGCATCCCTCCGCCACTCCCTTGAAATCCCGCAAAAAGTTGATCTGTCCACACAACCCGGCAGATAGACAGTGCCGGATACCTAATCAGTCTCAGAATATGCAGAGTTAGGCGCACGGATGCCTTTGTTGCTCTCCCCGGCGAATGCAAGCGGGCGTCGTGACGAGACCAGCGGCGATTTTGTTGGTTCCGGTATTCGTTGTTTTTTTTCCCCCGTGATTTTTCCACATTTTGGTTGCATAGTTTCTTGTTGATATTGTGACAAAAGAAACCGTCCTTCTTTGGGCAAACCGTTTCCTAGTTTTGGAGAAAAAAGGGTCCCTCGTATTTAAAAAAAAAAAAAAAAAGAAAAAAAAAAAAAAAAAAAAAAAAAAAAAAACAAGAAAGGTGATTGAAGGGACAACAGCGAAAAAGATAACCTATTATTGACAGCGATACTCCGTACACAAAGGTGAAATGTCTTTTCAGTTCCAGCATTCCCGAAAATCCCGTCCACCCAACGAGGATTAAGAAAGGCTAAAACCACAGATGAGCTTTGACGCCCGAAACCTCTGCAATCAAGGGAGGCCATGTCATTGCAGCCATCGGCTATAGCATCCACCCTAGGAGATAAGGAAAATACGGGAGGAATCCTTAAGAAAATGCAAGCAGGAAGCATAGATTACTCTTTAGCGTGAGAAGAATCCGTGAGTGGGGGTTGAAGGTAGACTGGGCGCATTTAAATTCCGGAATCCCCTGTCTCTCCCTGGGTCACTACGTGTGCGTACTTATTTATCCCGTTTGATTTATGCAGACCCAGGGATGCGTTTCTCCCTCGACTCTGCCATTTAGCTGTATCTAAGGGTGCTCAACGCTTCTGGTGGCATATTTACCCCTAGTACTTATCCCGCGCATCACATCTCGATAGTTTGGGGTATTATGCTGGGTGCTGCCAGGTGTCACCTATGTTCTAGATGTCAGCTACATATTTCCTCTATTTACGGAGTACAGCTCACTGTGGCATACCCTTGCTAGGTCACTCAACAGCCCAGGTAGGCCTCTTCAAGGTCGCTTGTCGTATTCTTGACTATTGATAGATCGACGATTTTCTTCCACCATTCACTCTCATGCGATGCCGTCCTTTATTCCGTCACAACAAGCTTGTTTTCTGGACCATGGAAGGCCCTTACGACGGCAGAAGGGTACATGTCTGCGATGGGAGAGGTTCGCTCATTTTTCCTCACAAAAAAGAAATGAGAAGAAATAGGCATAAGCAACGAGAGCAAAAAAAAAAAAAAGTGGAAACAGTAAAGCATCTTCTTTTGGGGCGGAGTACCAGAGGGTACAAGAAAGATCCTGTGGGGGGACAAGGGAGTTGCCGTGGTACGTACTCACGAATCGCTGCTGTAGGCAATGAAAGGGTAAAAAATAATATTAAATATATAGAATAAAATAAAATAAAATAAAATAAATGAAAAGAAAGGCCATCTTTAGAAAGGCAACCCGACTTGAGACTCGAGTAGTTTCGGCGGTTTATCGAGGCGGACCGGTGTGGGTGGGAAGGGCGAAATATGATGCGTATGCAACAGTGCGTTGTGCATGCCTTTTCTTTTAATTTTTAACTTACGGGCATTCCTGATGTGGACACACAAGTTGCATATACCCGTTATATATTACAACTCTAATCGTCGAGTTTTGCAGCCCTTTTAACTGGGTTTAAGCATGCTCTTATCCGAAAGATATGTGGCCGCGAGAGAGTGGGCTTTCCCCATGTCAGCTTTTAAAGGTAGTTGAACCGGGCAAAAGGGGCACGTAAAATTGTGGTATCCGACCATTGGGGTCCAGGTTTATCGTATAAGCAGTTATGATGAACTTTGCACACCTTCGTCTAGCCCGTCCCCGAAGCAGGAGAGACAAAGGCACAGAGAGCCATAAATAATGAGATGCAATGCAATGCGGCGGCATCCCCAGGCGAAGGCGTCCAAGTAGCAAAACGGGAGGGAGGGGGGAGCGCCATTCCCAGACAGGGATAGGGAAGGTAAGCACCAGATTCAGGACGAATGGAGTACACAACTAAGGCCCCGTAGTCAGTAGTGTGACTTGTGTTTGGGTGCATGGCGAGGATGTGAGGGATTCACATCCAGTACATGCACACATTTGTTCCCTACAGTCGTACATGAGTACGTGAGGCTGGCCTGACAGGTTCGTTTGTCTCGCACGAATCCAGGGGAGAGATACCAGCGCCATTACCCAGCTACTGACCTGTATAAAATACCTGGCAGCCGGGGCACGCTGGGATACCCACGCCGGGACGGTAGATACGCCTCCCGGATTGACCACGCACCTGATGATACAGCAATAGCGAGATTATATATGGAGTAACTAGAGAATGATGAGCCGGATTAACTATTAAATATAGTAGCAGTCAGCTCTCGCTTTTTTTTTTTTTTTTTTTTTTTTTTTTTTTTTTTTTTTTTTTTTTTTTGTTACTTGCTCGATGGATTCCCACATCTGTGGATCGTCCTCCCGAACCGAACCAACTTTTCTTTTTGACACTGCTTACTTTTTTGCTTCTTTCTCGAGATCGATTCAAGGACAGCTTTGTAATAATATTAGTTCAGATAGCAACTGTCGTAGCGTGGGAAGTCTTCTATGGTGTGAGTTATATTTCATAAGGTGATATTCGTTGAGTTGAGGAATGGAGTTGTGAGAAGTCGAGCGAAGAAGGTTGCTGCCGAAGGGGCGGTTCCGTTTAAAGCTACTCTTCTTTCAACGTCACCTTCTCAACCTCCTCTCTTCCAACGCGACGCCAGCACACTCAGAACACGCAGATGCACACTTCTCTAGCAAAGGCAGGCAGGCAGACAGACGCACTCGAGCATATGGAGTACTCCTGACTTCTCTCCCCTTTCGTATCACCAAAAATTCAGTCGAGTCGCCTTATTCGTGCACTGGGCGCCACGAACTCATGGCGCCCCCCCGCCGGGCGAGCCAGCCCTGGGTTTCGTCAGGAGCATGCGAAACAACTTGGCGGGAGGGGACGAGCTAATCACCAGCGTTTTTCAAGCTCGAAATTGTTCCCTTGGTGGCTTTCCTGCTGCTGAGAAGAGAGGAAAAAGCAAGCAAGAGGGATGGGAGGGGAAACCAAAAAAGAAAAGGGACCCCATCTACATTTACACGCATACATATACACGCAGAGAGAAAAAAAGAGAGAAATACACTCCCTACATACAAACAGAAGCTCGCAGCGGGAACCAGCAGGCTGTTTACTACAGAGTTACATAGGCTGTATATCGGTTTGACCGACAGTCACTCCATTTCGACGCCACGGAACTCTATCAGGATGCCTCCATTGGACCACAGCGGGCTGCTTAAAACTCAGTCGGCAAGAGAAGAAAAAGCATTCATGTTCAGGCTTCAGAGATTCATCAAGCTCTTCTCCGGAATTATCTCTCGCAATAAAAAGGGGGGCTGAAGCCAAGAACAATTTGGACGCGGCTTCTCGGAAGCCAGATCTTGTTCTGCTTCTTCCTTTTCTTTTTACCACATCAACTTCATCCCAACTGCCCGCTACCTTATAATACTCCGTAGGTTGCTCCTCATTCGTTGTCAACTCCGGGAGTCCAGTACTACTGGACCTTCAAGATTTATAAATGGAGACACATCTTTCAAAGGAATAATAGTGTTTCTTGTCAGCAACCCAAGGATGAACCTGTTTCTTCACTAGTACTCCGTACGGATCCATCATATAGGTCATCTAGTTAACCCCCCCCCCCCCCCTCTCTCTTTTGACCGTGAGTTGGGAATGATAACGCCAAAGATTTTTTTCCTGTGACAAACACCAAGAGAGCAGCGGAAAAAGAAAAAAATGACAAAGTACTCTCCCCATTCAGAGTGCAGGGGTGAAAAGGAAAAAGGTAGACAGCCAAAGCGGGCCTCATTAGTGACGAGTTAGTGCCGCCCTGGCTCCTCTATGCCCGAGTTTTGGCATGTCTAGACCCTTCCGACAGGCTAACAGCCTTACTTTTGAAGTGACCTCTCTCCAAAAGAAGCACGGTTCTGTGTACTTCTCAGAGAGGCCTAGTAACTCTGGAGTACTCCATACTGGGACAGCGGGATCAGCTTTTCTTTCTTGAAAAAGGGTTATTTCTGCCACTCCGTATGCCCTTGATCCATGTGGTCTTGGGTCGATCGACTAGCCCTGACAAATCCTAATTTGGTACTTTGAAAACTTTCAGTTTGTCTTCGTCTTTACTTACACTGGAAAGGTGGGGAGAAGAAAAGAACGAAAAAAATTGGCATGTTTTCTTTTCCGACATCCCTTCAGCCACCACCACATCTCCAATCCCTCCCTTTTGCAGCCTGAAAAATCAATATGGCCGGCGTCAAATCTTTCTACTGGTCAGAATCCATGCATCTCTTTGCATCAGCCAGTCATTCCCTCTTGGGTCCCCTTAAAAACAATGCTGACTACTATGCAAATCGGTTGTACCTTGCAAGGTGCTAGAGAGTACCTGGTCAACGAGTGGAAAGGTAAATATCCATTCAAGAAAGACAACCAGAGCTGCAACGTTTCTCCAAATCATATTAATACTTCCTTCTGGTATTTGATCGTTGCCCGCCCTCTCCGTGTTCCTGTTGAGGTGCCAGGAAAGTCCATTTCCGAGCATTCCAGAGCTCGGCCCGCCTCTTGCTAGGTTGTACTTTATCTCCTGACTTCTTGTCACTCAACTCAAGCCATTTGCAAACCGATTGCTTATCAGGGCCTCTGGACATTTCTCATTTTTGTTCTGGGACAACACTCTAGAGCAAAAATCCCATTTCTGTCTGATTGACTATTAATTGAACCCTGTACCCGCGCTCCCGCTCGTTGATCATCTTCAGTCCATCGAGGCTATCCCCGGTTCACATGACGCTAATCTTCAGATCTGTTCTTGTTATAAAATATCTCCGTCCGTGCTGGCGCTTCTGTTAGTCGCGGGTATCTGGTTTAGTTCCACTCTTTATTTAATCGGCATCCGCATTCTCGAACGCCAAACAGGTGGGTGTTAAGGATACAGTGGAAACATCTCACCTGTTAGTGGTATTCTTCTTATTCTCCCTCCTCGGTCTCTCGTGCTGCTTCAGAAGAACCTCGTTATTCCTCCACCGGCTCAGAGGAGGCTATAAGAAAGTACACAGAGGCATTGGGAAGCAAAGGCAAAAATAAACTACTATTTTTGCTTTCCATCTTCAATGGCATGCGACACAGTCTCTCGTTCTTGTGTCAATACCGCTTCCCACAATCCTCATCTTTCCCCTGCCCCCTTCAGTGCAGACACGATCTCCTCCCGAGCTCATGAGATTGCCGACCCATCTTCTACCCTTGCGTTGAGGTTGCTCGCTCCTGACAGCTCTATTTTGGAGGACCACAGGAAGCATCAAAACCAGAATCATAGCCAAAGGCCTACAATTGGCCCGCCAGTTGGTTCAGCAGTCATGTCACATCATTATCACCACCATGACGAGGATCAAGAGTACACATACGGCAGAAACAATCAATACAATTTTTCACAACCTTCCTTCAACCAGTCGTATTCGAACCATCAGGTTCTAGCACCATACAATCATCATTCCACAGAGACGGCCTCCATCGCCCCATCCTACTCCTCACAGCAAGCAATATATACGCAAGCTCCGCAGCACTCCTCCCTCATCACCCATTCGTCGTCTACGGGATATCAATGCCATCCTCAATATATGTCACAGCCCAGGTTTCCAGCACCGCATCGCTTATTCCCTATGCATGAACCGTTTTGGGAGGTGGAGATCGAAGCCCAGGAATCTTGCAACGAACAAACGGTTTTATCAGAACCTGTTATCCCAGCTTTGGAAGGGTTCCCAGATGTCCGAGAATTTGACCAACTCATGAAGAGGTAAATACCTCTTATTTAGGCTCCAAAGTTCATCCAGTTCAACTCCATGGAAGCTAATTGGGTTGAACAGTTACGTTGATGATCTCTCCGTCAAAAAGCAAGATAAGGCTTTGATTCACTCAAGGAGAGCACGAAACATCAAAATCGTGCTTACTGATCCCAAGGACACTGCAATTGAATCTGCCCAATTTAGGTATGTCCTTCAGACCTTAGACAGGGTCAGAACGGAAACTATTTTTGGATATCCTAAACCATGAATATATCAATCCCTCAGCTTTTCCCCTTGTCTAATACTGTTTATTTAGGTTTTGGGTGAAGAAAATGTTCACACTTGTACCTAAGGACAACAACGTCCCTATGGTTTGTCATGCCTTTCCCATTTTGCATCTGAATCTTTCCAAATGGCTGATCATTAGCTAATAAACCTGTTTTTTTATTGCAGTCGAGAAAAATGATATGTCACGAAGGGAAACCAGTAGCAATTCGCGAAAAACTCTTCAAAATCCTGACACGAGCACACCAGCAATGCCAACATGGAGGTCGTGATAAGACTTCGGCCCAAGTTCGGAGGATATATTCATGGTAAGCCACACCGTTTGTGAGCCAGGAATCAGCGTCCATTAAACTCTGTCCTTGGCATACCAGAAAAGCCGACTTTAATTGACACGCCACTTCTTCTAGGGTCCCAAAAGAATTGATATCTCGCTTTGTTAAAATATGTCCAACATGTCAGGTCCGGAGAGGAGGATCTCGATTAACGCCTCCAACTTCATGCAGAAGTTCTCCTAAACCTGATCATGCACTAGGCCCCTCCCCGTATCTCTTATCACCGCCAGATTCTCGCCGGGAGTCCATTATTAGCAGGCCAGGTATTCCATATCCTGCACGAGCAGAAGCTCCACACGCTAATCAATCCAATATTCCATCTGCACTAACCTGGCCTCCATCCCCACACCACACAAGCCTGTCGAGCCAATACCATAATTCACATATGCATCCTCTCCCTTCGACAGCTAGTAGCTGGGCTTCACTTCCTCGAACGCTGACATCGGGTAGTGAAACAAATGGGACTGGAGGAGGCACCCATGGGTTATCGACGACAATGTCCATGCCTTCAAGTCATTTGGATTATCAGCCTACCTATGATGAGGCCCAACATCTCCCGGAACCTCATCCTTACTAGGAAACCATGATATTCGAGGAATGATCTTTGGATAACGACCTAATCCAATGGTCAATGCACTCGGATGGGATCCATGAAACCAAGTCTGACCATTCCACGGATTCTCCAGCGCGGTGCAGGATATTGTGCGCAGCGTTTTCTCTTTTTCGTCTTATCTCTGGCTGTGTTCCTTTTCTCGACTTTTCCCCCTTTTCTCTTTTAAATCCTTCGTATGACAAAGCAAGGCCATGGGCACGTATTCATCCTGGACTTTTATTATGAAAAATCCATTAAGGAAACTACAAAGAAGGAAAGTCATTCTCTAATATATCAATACTAATGACGGAAGCCCACGGAAACCCAGGAGCGCAAAAGTTACCCACAACATAACTATATGACACTTCAAACGTTTGACTATGGGAAATGCAGGGTGTTAAACTGGATATGGAAATAATTTTTCAATGTTATCGCATGGAAGGACAGGGAAACATTTTGGGAACATCTTCACAACTTTTTTTTTGAGCTTTTTCTCCTTGATTACTCTTTCTTGGTTTTCCTAGTTTATTTCATTTTTTTGCTTTTCTTACTTTCACTCTAGGTTTATTCTTGTTATTTCTTGCTTTTCGCAGGAATCCGTATGAAGAGGGTTACGGCTTTGTTATATCAGACTGACTCTCACGTCAATTAAGAGGCGATTTAAATGTATCATTTTATTCCCATGAGAGTTGTATCCAAGTAACTACCCATTTCATACGTGGTACAGCAGGTGGCTACAGGAAACCTTGATGCTACAGACTGAAAACTTATTGTTCCAACTGGTTGTATGCGCTAGGTTGTTTTTTTTCTTATTGTTGCTTCGTTTATACCACAGAACCTTATGCTGAGATAGGGGCATAAATCTGGGCTTTTTGAATAAGTAAATAATAATACATCGCTTTTTGTCTTAGCAACCAATACTGATGACGGTTAACCCCAAGAGATAGCTAATAAACAGGAAGATTGCAGAAATGTGATACCAAATACAAGTAGAAAATCAATAGTCATATTCCTTCTAAAACAGAGAGCATGCCTTGACATCAGCCTAGCCTCATCAATAAACGCAGAGGAATCAAAATTGTGTTACAGATACCTGGGGATGGTATTCCAGACATTGTATTTATTACAACGTGTCTCGTCGAATTTTTTTCTAGGGCGGGAAAATAGTAAAAAAAGAAGAGAGAGAGAAAGAAAGAAAGAACCTCATACTGCCTGTGTCTTCTCTCGTGACTTCGATTGTTATGAGTATAAAAAAAGATTAACAGGCAACTCTTCTTCGTAATGGTTATTATCATCAAGGATGGAAGACAGGTTGGCGTTTAACCTAACGTTCCTCTGAAACGTGGTATGATAAGTTATACTGGCAGGGAGAATTTCTGGCCCTTGAGAACCCTATCGCAAGATTTATCATTAGACATTGAGTATAGGTCGAACCATTAAGCTTAGGGATACTAACTTTTGGAAATAGATCCAGAAGAAGTCGGCGTAAAGAATGGTCTGGATGATACCAGCAACCACAGCAATTGGATCGAAGTATCCGTCGGAGAAGTATCGGTAGATCCAGTTGGGAATATACAGAGCACGGTATATGCCCAGTGCAAAGAGATAATGGGTTGTTATGGTCTCAGCTTCACCGGTTCGCTGAAGCATGAACAGTTGCGGTAATATGGCAACTGACTCTAACCAGATCGAAAACGCCCAGAGAATCTAAACTCGAGGAATCGATCCTGTTAGACCCTCGGAACACTCAATCTTCTTCCTTGACCGAAGAACTCGGGAGTCCACTCACCTCTGAGGCTGTATATTTGTAGGGGAACAAAACTCCCAGAACGGCACTAGCTCCGAGAAGATATACAACTTTAAAAGTATCGATGTTTGGGTCGTTTGTTGGTTTATAATCGTTGAGCATCAGATAAATGGTATATGCGGAAGAAGAGATGAAGAGAATTTTGAAGATGGTGTTGTAAGGCGAGCCGGTGAAGTTCCAGAACAAGTCTAACGAATGTAGAGACACGGTCAGTATGTTGCGCATAATCTTTTCATCTTTCCCATGTCGAGGTGCGTATATGGTCGCGTGTAAGGGGGTTGGAAAGTTAAATACCAAGATATCGAGTGACGTAGACAATCAGGTAAAGCGATTGTGACTTGAATGATATCCCCGAACAACTCTAAACCAACGTTAGTTTGAGGTTGGGGTAAGAATATAGGTTCGAAGCATGCGCATACACTCGATGACTTCATTTTCTGCAGGAGAATAAAGATAGAGAGGAGGTGGGAGATGTCCGCTAGCAAAGCCGCTTGATTAGCCAGTTTGTTTTGCAGGAAGATTGACATCGAGTAGGGTTCTAGGGCCGAAGTTGTTTCGTAGGGCATACCGAGAAGCCGGAAAATATTCATTTTGATGCTTGCGCCTAACTAGCCTCGCTTTCCAGGGGTGTATAGATTGAATGCGATTCCGCGATCAGGGGACAGGATCTAATGGCGGTCGATTTGGGCCTATGAATCGTGGGATTGTAGCTTGATTTGAGGTAGAAGACTCTTCTCCATGCAACCAGTGGCGTTGCATCTGACAGGGGAACGTAATTTCCAGTTCCTCCGACTTGTAGAGACTCTGTGGATGTTGAAATTTGAGAGGTGATGGGAAGTTGTTGATGTTGACACGAAGGCCACAAGATGCGCTTTTTGGCTTTCTTAATCAGCTTTAATTTCGACTGGTCATAAGGGGTCATGTGATTTATCCAGGATCCATGACGCAGTATTCAAAGATGGCAGAGGCAATAATAGAGAACTTAAGAGAGATAGTAACAAGCGTTATTAAAATAGAAACTGATTATATGTAGAGGCCTCATCGGGCACAGATTATGCTGATGTGGGACATGGAGGGCTTAACTAAATGTTGTCCTGGCTCTTCCTAGCACCACGGCAGCCACACGGTTTAACTATCTCAACGCGGGCGCCGATAACAAAGCATACTACATCGTACCCAGTACTCTCTCTACTGGACGTGCTAGGCGTACAGCCAGTCTACAATAAAGTGGAAGGCAGTTTCGAGAGCCAAAGGGGATAGAAGGAAGATACTTATGTAGTCGCATCACAGTCGTGTCGGGTTGGGTCCATATAGAGGTGTCACATGACCTATCCCCGTTTTGGGCAATTCCCGACGTCAATGGAGAAAGTGTATGGGCGGAACTTCGGTTTCTGCGTATTGTTCACGCGTGGGCGTCGGCGAGGCCATGCTGCCCGGAAGTTTTAGAAAGAATTAAGCCCGCGCATTGATTTTACGCTATTGATTAACTGATTGTAGAACACAACAAAAGAGACTCGGTGGAGCGCGTGATATTACGGAAGACTGCATAGTAGAACGGCGCCGAAACCAAACCAGGCCAGATAACGCCACAGCCCCTAAACCCATTTACGTGGTAAGCCTCTAGCTAACGCTTGGGAATGCCTGAAGACAATAAAAGTGTACAAGGGAGGCTAAAAGGCAACACCGCCTCCGATGCCTTCCGTTTCGGACATTCTCTGGAGATGACCGTCCGCAAGATCTGTTCTTAACGCGGCAGTCTCACATTCTCTACATAGCTTCTCCCACTCTCGAAGACATGCCCGCTTCACCCTCTGTTTTTCGGAAATCTGTTCTAAAAGCTTCTCCTTATCGGCTTCTAGCTGGGCCAGCCGCTTTTCTGTTATGGGATCTAGACCGGAAGGCAATAGCCTTCCCCCTGGAACGATAGCAGGAAGGCCAGCTAGATGATTAGTAACTCTTGGTGGCCGTGGATAGTTTGTGGACACTCCACTCCCATGCCTAAAGGGTGGTCGTGGCCTAGAATCATGGGCTGTACCGGGAGCAAGGCTCCCTCCTACACCGCGAGGGCCAGAGGGAGGGGGTCCATGATGCTGGGCGGCGGACGTATGGGAACTGCCACGTCGTACCATGCTAGGACCCAAGCTAGGACCGGGCCTTACACTTTCACGAGGCCCAGTAGGGGGCCCGTCTCTGTTGAAAGCCGGCCCAGATGCACCTTTGGGCCGCGTTGGAGCTGACAATAGAGCCATATGCCCTCCACGTGCGGACTGTCTCATCGACCTTGAAGCCGCAGAAGGGCCAAGAGGTGGAGATCTCCCTTCGGGAACGTTTACACCTTGGGATTGCATTGATGTATTGCTTTCGCTGCGAGAATCCATCGGGGATTTAACTGTGCTTTGACCACGGTCATATTCATTATCGACAAATGACCTTTGCGGTTCGTTTGAGCGAGGTGATTGCAGACGATGATTGCTTGGGGGCCGTCTAGAGGGTGACGGAGGCCGGCTGGAAGGTCTCCGGTTTCCCTCAGGAAAACGAGATGCATTCGTGTGAGCGTGAGGGCTATCATATTGTGGTCGTGACATAGCGTGGGGTGGGCCGTGCACTGATGAAACTGAGTAATTGCGATTTATTCTTTCCGGAACAGGAGGAGAGGATCTTCGGGATGTAGCTGCCGAGCCATGCGCAGAGTTCGGACCAGAGCGTTCCGTGATAGATGGCGATCGCGGAGGTGGTGGCGGCCCTCTTGCGCCTGTTGGATCACCTCGTGAGCTTCGTCTATCAGTACTTCTTGACCGCCTGCGGCCATCCATTCTTGAATCTCGCTGTTGCATAATCTCATTGAAGGGAGGTGACCGTGGTCGGTCGAATCGATTTCGTGGAGGTGAGTTATTTCGTTCTCTCTTTGGTGCACGAGGTGCGTTGATGGTCGAAGGAGAGGGATCGCGGCCACGCTTCAAACCTGGACTCCGATTCCTATCAAATGGCGGAGGTGATCGTGACCTTCTGTTAAATCTTGGAGGTCTATCACGACCGGGGGATGGCCGTCTGAGAGGAGAACGAGGTCTGTTTCCAAAATTAGGGCCTCTCTCACGGCCTCTGAATGGGGGACTCCTTGAGCGTGGCCTGAAGTTATCTGGGGAGCGGCTCCGTGGCCTAGGCCTGCTTGAGGGTGCCCATGTATCTGCAGAGGGCCTCATCGGCGACCGGTTGCGAGGTGGAGAGCGAAATGACCAGTTATCAGGACGGGGGGAGCGGCGGAAGTTGCGTTCCAGAGGGCGATAACTCTCTCCTCCACGGCGCGATTCATCAAATCTAATGAGGGTGTTAGTTTCATGAATATTGCATCAACAGCCGCATGCAAGATGCAAGGGACTCTATTAGGCTGTGGCCCTTTAATTGACAAGCCGTCTGGATTTTCTTGCGAACCTTCTATCACGATCCATCATTGTCAGCAATTAGCACTTTCCGGCCTGGAACTGGCGCTTGGTCTTGGAATCTGCAAGGCGCTCGGGAGTCAGCGGCGCTGTGGCTAGCTGGGGGAGGGCCTGGAAGAGTTAGGGCAAATCAAGCTTCGAGAGCGTCGTAACCACAGTCAACAAGGAACAAGGTCACAGCGTGCCTTGGAGAATCTCGCGGCTCTCTGCTGTCCTCTTAAGCTATATAAAGGATTATAAAATGCGATCTTTGCCGCCGAGCCGCTAACCCACATCAGGAATAGTATAGAATGGCGCTTAATTATCAACACGTGATACTACCTGGGCGCGGGTACGGTACCCCAACTATCGAGGTAGAGATTGTAGTAGTGATGAAGGAACAATCATATTTCTGATTACTGAATAGCTGCTGTATTGTTCGCCTAAAAGCTTATGTTTTTCCATACATTATAAATTGCCTAATTCTTATTCATACTGTACATAGTTGATACCCCTACCTTACCGCTTGGCTCGCCTCTCTTCGTCTTTCTTTAATCGTTTCCGACTTTCGTTGGCAATCATATCACTGAGATCTTCCTGGAACCAGTTCGGATTCTCCTCCTGCTTTTTCTGAGAATTGTAAAGATTCTTTAGGCTCTCCTTGTCCAGCCCATGGCCTTCCAAAACTTCAGGGTCCACGGCCACATCAACATCACCAGGTCTCTTTCTCTTTCGGTTCTCATCCTCTTCTCCAAGAACTGGGAGATTGGCTGTGGTTCCTTTAAGATCATAGACCCTGTCACCACCAAAAAATCCCTTAACTTGGGTTTCACGCTCAGGAATGATTTGATAAGCCGATCGAGGTTGTGTCGACTCTTCGGTTTCTGTGCCCCTATGATGCTTCCGAACATCAAATTCGCCAGCAATGCTCTGTGTACCTCCGTACTCGGAAGGTATTGATGAAATCATGCCACTTGGTGTCTCCAGACCACTTGGCGTTTGTAGCCCTGCACCAACGTCCTCATCTTCCTCTTCCTCATCCTCGTCCTCTTCGCTGTCTTCTTCTTCTTCCTCATCTTCTGGCGGCTGCAGTTCTCCCCATAAATCCTTCTCGACAGGTTCCCCTTGTTGTACGTTTTGCTGAGTCTGCAATACACCAAATATGTCACCACCATACAATGGTCTGTTGTGTTCATCGACCGGGGGTTTTCCATATCCACCAGGATGGTAACCCCACATTGCGCCTGGAGGTGGCGGGGCATTGAGACCAGGTATTTTGATGGCAGGGTATGATGGTGGAGGGCCAAATCGTTGTTGGTTAATTAACCAAGGTGGTGGAGCTCCTGGGGGAATGTTTAATGCCTCCTTCAACTCGTCACTAAGTTCTCCGGGCCGTAGGTGCTTCAAGTTCGTCTCAAATTCTTTTCCTTCGTAGTAAACCTCGCCATATCTTGTCAACTCTGGTTTTGTCTGGAACCGGAAAAATGCTTCGTAAAGTTTCTGATAATCGATGTCAAGTTTCCCCATCTTAGGCTGTACCCTCTCACGCTGTTTTTGTTTGAGAGTCTGCTGATCTTGTTTTTCTAAAACAGCATCTCTCATCTCCGCGATACCAGTCTCCTGGATGAATTTGGGGAGTTGAAACGCGGCCTTCTCGATTCCCCTCTTTGAAGACAAGTATTCACGTTTTAACGACCAATGACCCGGGACAGGCACGACATTGCGATAAGTTTTAATATGGACTAAAAGCTTTGGATCTGAGGCATCTGCGTCTGTCCACTCCACAGCCTCGGGTTTTCGAACCATGGCCTTCAACTCCGCAACAGAGAGTTTATTCATCTGCTTGCGCTTTTTCTTCGATATTTTGGTCTCCGCATTATCCTCTTCCTCTTCATCTGGAATGTCATCTTCATCGAAATATATCTCTGGTTTATCTGATTTTTTAACAGTCGAATCCTCCGCTTCACTCTGGTCGAACTTCCCCATCACGTCCTGGTATAGCTGAAACAGTTCATTGTCTGCTTCAGCCGGCGCAAACATGGTAGAAGCATAGTCAAGTTCGTCATTTTGTTTCCAATCCTCTGGCTTAGTCTCGGTTTTGACAGGATTTGTGACGGTTGCAGTCTCTTCGGTTTGGGTTGTAGGTGTCTCGGTGTTACTTTTTGATTGCTCCTTATTACAAGTTAGCTCCAACTCATCCATGTGATGATTCCGGTAGTAAAATACCTCGGCTTTTTTCGCCTTCTTCTTCGCTCTCCTTTGCTGGTTCTTCGACAGCTTTGCGGCCACGGCAGGCATGGTGAAAAAAGTAGCTGTTATCACAGCTCAGATGAGCGCTTGTGGGAGATAAAACCGATCAGTAAACGTAATTGCAATATACGCGAGAGGACTAATGCGATCAATCCGGTATCTGTATCGTTCGTGTAATGGGGTTTGCGACTGTAGGTGTTGCTGAAGATTGCTTGATTTCGTGGTCCCTAAATAGCTAACTGGCATAGCCGTGGCGCGCGCTCAATAGATCAATCACGTGATATAGATTTTTCTCCCTATGGCAAACTGACATTATTTGCAAGATGAATTTCCTTAGGATAGAAGGAAACCTGACTCAGCATATCTCAGAAAAAGTCATTATAAGGGTAAGGTAGTAGGTAAGTTGGATAATTTATGACATGTGCGCCGTATAACCTCTGGTAAGCATAAATCTTTACCAGATGCTAAATGTGAAGAAATTCCTTGTAAAACAAACCCGTTTATAGTACAAATATACATCCAATACAGTTCCTACAAAATTAACTATCTCTTTTTCTTCGCTGATTTGGACTCTATAAATTGATATTGTTAGTTTTTGTGGAGAATTTCTGACAGTAAATTCGGGGAATTACAAGGGCAAAGGTTCCTGATCACGGGAGTATGCGTATAGGTGTAGAATAATGCAAAATACTCCTAGGGGGTAAGGATTGTTCGTACCTGCTGCTGTGCGTTTCTTCTTTGGCGCCCCCTTTCCACGGAGCTTCCGTCTGTAGTCAAGCCTGTTAACGATCGTCCCAGCACAAAGGATGCCTCTGCTTTACTTTCAGAGGGTATAGATATGTTGTATGTTTGAGAGATCGTACATTTGGTTCATTTCCTCGTGATGTGACCTCAATGGATCAAAAGTAATGAGGCCCATGGGTCGATAGGCCCTTTCAAGATCTTCGAACGTCACGGTCTTTCTTGGGTAATACGAAGCAAGAGCGGCTCCGCGTAGTCTTTGGCGTAGGATCTTATTTCCAAGACGAAGGTTTTCGGGATTAAATGTATGGGAGAAAATGCGGCATTGGACCTGGTCAGACCGTGCGTATTAGTTGATATTGTCTTCAAAAATGCCTTGAGCAGGCGTAAAATTTGGGCATTAGCTAGAATCCAAATGAGTGCTCACCTTTAACAGATCCAATATCCGCGATCTAGGAGCCGCCATTCTGTCAATTGCGTGGTTTGAAATTAGTTTGAACTTGCTGCAGTGAAAAAGACGCTTTCTATCATGTCGTTGACGGGTTTTCGAATGGCCTTGATGCCCGCGTTTAGACTTTCTATTCTTGGCATCGGCGCGGCTAAACTTGCCGAGCGACCTCCAACACCAGAATCGCAATAGAAAGCTCCAAATTCACGAATCGTTCAAATTTTACCTCTCTACCAAGTAGGATATTTGTTGTATTTTTACTCTACAGTGATGGGAACTAAACGGATATCGGAAGCTGAGAGCTCTCAGAACAGTTCCCAGAATTCTAAACGCATAAAAAAGGAAAAGGTATGCAGCTATCCAATCCCGCTTCTTCGGGTTTGAATAACTTATTGGTATTATCTGTAGAGAGGACCTCAAGAGAAAAAATCCAGCGAAACAAGAACGAATGACCGTCCTGCAGACAAGATACCAATCCAGTTTCAGCTTATACAACTCCAAAAAATTACCCAAAATTTACTCGCTCAATCAGATAATATCGAAAGTATAGAAAAAGAGAATGCGAAGGACCTCATAAAAGGATTAAAACGCATCAATAAGGCGTTCGAGAATTCAGAAAATACGTCATTAAATTATACCAAGCAGCTACCACTCCCATCTATACCGAGTGGTTTACCGTCACCAGCAGGCACACGTTGCGATGGCAAATTACCTCTACTACCTCCTATCGGGGATGAATCCTTGAAAACAGCTGTATTTACCCACACTGGCATCATGGAGCGAGGACCAATATCCACTCAAACCTCAGAGAAGACATATGACAGACTAGAAGTACTAGGAGATGCATACATCGAACTCATCTCGACTAGGTTAATATGGGAAAATTTCCCTACCTTGCCTGCTGGGAAAATCGCACAAGCTCGAGAAACTATGGTGAAAAACGAAACTCTAGCTGAATACGCAGTAGCATATGGCTTTGATCAGCTACTAAAGACCAGTTCGGATATAAAAAGCGTCCCAAAACGATGGACAAAAGTAATGGGGGATGTCTTTGAGGCCTATGTTGCCGCTGCCATTATAGCTGACCCCAAGGGTGGGCTTCGGGCAGTAGAAAGCTGGCTAACTCAACTATGGCTGCCAAAGCTTGCGGAGGTGAAGGTTCCTTTGGCATCAGTGACACTAGCGCAAGGCAGCAAAGCTTCTTTCAAAGACAAGCTTGCCGCCACGGTCATGAGCAGAGGAATAAAGCTGCAGTATCTTGAGGAGAAACCACGCCAGCGCGAGGGTGGATTGGTTACTTCTTTTATTGGAGCTTACCTCACTGGATGGGGCTATGAAAAGAAGCTCCTCGGGTCCGGAAGCGGTTTGAGCAAGTCGGAGGCAGGAAATGAAGCGGCACTTAATGCCTTGAACAATAAGCCTCTAATTGACCAGATCGCTGCAAAGAAGCGAGAATACGACCAGAAGATGGCAGCTCAGAAGGCCGCCGCCGCCGCAGCAGCAGCGTCAAGTGCAGCAGAGACAAGCTAACATGTCTGCATGCGCCAATGACCAGAGATATGATGGCCCACGGGTATCCAAAGTCCTCCTTGCCTCTATGTAAGAATGTCCATGGAAGTTCGATAGCTGAATGAGCTGTGTACAAACTTGAATTATTGCATCTCTCCGCCAGGGTCTCGTCCCCGTACGTACAGTTTTCAGCGTGATAACCCAAGGATCCTCAGCTATGAATACACAAACCGCAAGTATCGTTATTACTACTAGATGTCGGAATTTGCACACATATTTCTAAACAAAATAAAAATCTCCCTAAGTGCGGTATCTAGCAAGGTGCTCCTTTGATGGCCGGCCTCCGGAGAGCCGTCCGCTACGAATTACATCCGCAATCTGAACAACAATACTACCTATCAGCCATAACTTGCATGATGCCATCCCCCTAGGACGGGGAGAAGAGGCTGAATGTATAAAAATAGCTCTGCAAGGTCCCGGCTTAGTCATCAGAACTGACCAATCGCATCCACATGCGACGACCCACTCTCCCGAAACGGCAGTTCACGCAAGTGTTGCTCCCGTCGGTTCAGCAACTTTTGGCTGCATCAACTTCAACGCTTGCACGTACTTCCTAATCCGACTAAGCGACGCAGCGGCCAAGGAGTGTCGACTGCCGGCCGTCCGCACATCATGGCGACGTGTTCACTAAAACTACCTGGCAAAGGCCTGACCATCGTTCAACGTTCACATCTCTCTTCCTCTTACTCTTGGTGATATCTATTCAATGGATGCTGAAAGGCGAAGACGTCTACAGATAGCCGCCGTAGTTGTAACTGTGGCAACGATTACAGTCGCGACTCACTACATGTGTCGGCTTCAGAGGCGTCATCGTCTACACCGGGAGCGCGCACAACTGTCTCAAGTCCCTTCAAAACGCGCCAAATCCGCAAGGCGTCGTCAACCTCGTGTCTCCCAGGCTCCGTCAAGATGTCAAGCAACTTGGCTAGCTGACTAGGAGGAGACTAATGGGGCGGTGAACTGTACAGGGGGGGATGCTTTGTCTTCTACAACACGCGAGAGCGATGGAAGTGCATATGTCGAAAAAACCAATGGCTCTCTGATCCGACTGCTATCCTCTGATAGGAGCTAAATCAAGTTTGGAGTTGCAATGACGTGGAACTAACTAGCTGATTCCTGTGATCAGATGCTATTTTTCGTTTCTATGGTCGACTCTTGGGCCGTCTGGGGGCTCGCCAGGCAACTGCATTTTTGATGTAGTTCTGGGCATAAGTTCGATGCAATGCTTCATCTTGGATTACGAATTTTTTAGAAATAACCATCGTGTGGGGCCAGACAGACGTTTTATTTCTTTAAGCTTAAATGCGAGCAAATGCGAGATTGGTACATGTTCAGCCAGGGAGTTCTGCATAGCCTCTCCCAAAGAGGAAATGTTTCGCTCCATGCCTATCCACGACTGATGGAGGTGGATGAAAAGGGTATATAAAGTGTTTCTCTGTCCTGTCTTGTACTTGTTCCTTATTTCTTGAAAACATAGCATAACTTTTGGCATAACACTTAAGTCAGTGCTGTTCTCATCCTTATAATATAATTATCTATACACATCTTTTTTGACTTCTGTGGTGTAAACAGTGCTAGCGATCTTCGAGTCTTCAGCATCAATACACTGCGCCAAATAAACCCTCCCAGCAATGCCGGACCAAAGTCTCTATTTTTACAAGGCCTCGTTGCCTGCAGCAGCCGTCTTCGCAGTGCTCAATGCTATCCCGGCAGTTTTCCTCTTCTACACCACAGTTATTGGCCCCAAGACAGGCAAATACCGCAATGCCTCGTTCTTCATCCCCTTGTGCATCGGCGGTCTTATGGAGGTATTGGCATATATCGTGCGCTGCATCAGCATCAAGATGGACAGAGTTATCGCCCTTTACGCAGTGTCAAGTTCCCTCATTGTTGTTGCACCGGTTCTAGTTTGCGCAAGTCTCTATCTCCTCGTCGGCAGGCTGGTCAGAGCTGGCCTCCCATCTTCTGGAAACCAGCAACGCATTCTAGGGATTAATCCTTGGTGGCTACCGCGTATATTTGTCACATCGGATATTCTGAGCTTCTTGACGCAAGCCTCTGGAAGCGGAATTGCGGCGTCCGGAAACTGGAAGGGAAGCACTAAAACAACCGGTGAAAATGTCCTGAAGGGCGGTTTGGCTTTACAGCTGATCACTTTCACTCTGTTCCTGGCGTTAGTTGCTCGATTCCATAGTCGTGCTAATGTCGTGGCTAAGGGTGGTGTCGACAGCGGTATTTTCAAGGTGCTGCTGGGATTGTATATATCAGGATTTTTTATAGAGGCAAGGGACCTCGCATCCCCGAAATTTGTGATTTCCCTCCCGGACAGTCCTTCTTCTAACACTCTGCATATAGGTTCGATGCGTATACCGTCTCATAGAGTTCATCTTGGGTATCGACGGTTATCCTTTTCGCCACGAATGGCCACTATATGTTCTTGAAGGGTTGCCCATGCTATTTGCAATGTTCGCACTCGCATACTTCCATCCTGGAAAGTGGTTGCCAAACGAATCGTTGAATTCCGAGACAGATACTGAGGAGATGCAAAACAGAAACGGGTATTAAGTGATAGGGATACGTCTTTTCCTTTCTTTGTTGCCTTAGAGAACTCATTTCCTGGATTATTAATTTTTCTTCTCTATGTCCCCATCACAAAGGGCCATGTGGAGTCATATTTATCCCCCTGGACACACATCACGTCTTTACTTTTTGACAGCCTGAACAGCGAGCTTTATTGTATTTTTGTTAATCGTCGAAGAAATCTGGGAATGGGTTAGTGAGATGTGTCTGGTATTATTTCATGTATCGGTAGCGATATTCTCCCATCATTGCATTTTTCAACATGATCCAAAAAGGTTTTCAGTAACTTGCTCCCTACTTCGTTGGAAAATATTTTGTACTCCATTCCCCAATAGGCGATAGCCTCAATTGGCCACCTCACATACTTCTTAAGGTGAGACGGCAATTTTCTATAAATGACATCTACCCATTGGACCTGGTATAATGTCACTTCAGGCACCCTTGCGCGCGCAGGGATAACAGATAATAACATTGGAACCATCATTGTCTCAATTGCTATATGGTAAGCAAAGAGTATAAGGGTTGGGGTATTTTCGGCTGATATGAATTTCGAAAACTGACTTGTACTAAGGTTGTACCACGCGGAGTAGTTTTTTTCATATATCAGAAAGGTATCTTCAGAGGAGTTTTGAGCGGCAAAAAGAGTATCGAGTAGACATTTCCAGAAGTAGGTATGGACTTCATCTTCCAGCAGTGGAACTAGTGACTGCACTGACTTGATCCCACTTTTCAACAGAATCGGGTTGATATCCAAGTTGTTAGTGATCTTCGGGAGAAACTCATTGAGATCTGCAGTCTGCTCCACAGGGAATACGCTTTTGCCCGCGTCCTTCTGCTTTATCCTAGTCGTGATCAGAGAACAGCCACGGATGAATACCACGAAATCAACAAGTGCATCGAACATATATCCCGATTGCATAGTTAGAGCGTAGCAGGCGGCAAGCATAGCGTCCAGCTCTTCGCTGCTGGGATCTGGCTTCGCCAGAAGTTGGTTAAGACCCTTTATAGCCTGTCCCCGGTGTTCAATTGCATTTGCATCAGTGATCGAATCTCCATGCGGGCGAATGACGGAAAGATGTGATGCGCCTAGGCCAAGAATGGCATGCATAACGAACTCATGCTGGAAATTAATTTAGTGGGATGGAGAAACCCTGAATTGAACTATGGAGAGGCCTGGAGTTACCTGGTGGGCAAGGAGCGGTATAGATGCTACCCAAGCACTATCACTACCGAATGGGAGGTACGGATGAGCTACCAGCAAATAATGGTGGAAAAACCCCATGTCTCGGAACGAGAACGGCGTTGGATTTGGCTGAAATTGAATAACCTCAGTAACCCCATTACTATAATAATTGCTGCCCCGTACTCCATGCGCCGGATACTCGCATTGCAGCTGCTTTGAGACGCAATTTTCACATTCGGGCTTCGTCTCTGAGCACTGTTTTACTATGGTCAGCTAAATATATCGGATCTATGAGAGATAATAACTAACAAACCTTGATTTTACGTGACTTGCAGTTATAACAGCCAAAGCGAGATTTGGCATGTGGCCGCTTGGAAACTGCTTTCATCTGACCTCTCGGAACAACCATGTTCATCCCCGTTGAATAAAACTAGTTTGATGAAGCGACGTTGAAGCTGCAAGCATCCACATTTGCGTAGAGCTGCCAGTGACTTGACGCCCACACGCTGTGTATACCCTGAAGAGTATATATAGTTATTGGCACAGTATTGGAGCCCCAGGGTGACGAAAGCAGTTTACGTACTCCGTAGTCGTCCGGCTGGATGATAGGTAAGCGGTCTCCGTTGGCGACCTGGCCTAAAAACTGCAACACGAGGAAGGGCAGCACCTTAATGCATAACATATCCGGGCAACTGATGGTTATATGATATGTATCTGCAAGGCCCAGTTCCCAGTAAACGAAAACCGTGATGAACTTGGTATTCATAGCTATTGCAGGGCTCTGTGCTGGAGCCTGAAGCATCGAAGTTGAGCTTGTGCCTCACTATCCGAGATCTATTAATATCCGCCAATAATCGCACTAGTTAGTTAATTAGTTAGTTGATTAACGAGTTAACTGGTTAACTGAAGATTTTATTGTTTCAGGCCGAGGCAATAGAAATCGGAAAAATAGCAGATTGTCGACGGGTTCTATGGTTACCCAACTTGCGACATCATTAATTTACTTCGATGCTCCTGCAGGCAACCTCGCAACCGGCTTACCGGGGCCGATCAGATGTTTCAAATCTTTTTTACTGTCCTTGGGCCTCCTTGATTCCCAGTAACTAGCCAGTTGGCTGAGGTCTGAATCGCGGCCCATGGGGACATCTTGTGGACCACGAGAGCAGATAACCGCAATCTTCTGAGGCTGCATAACCAGCAATTAGCAATCATTCATAACCGGCTCACTGTTATTCACCCATTTCTGGAAGAGATACGTTACCTCGTGAATTGCACTCAGTAGCTTTTCCTTTTTGTAGGTACACACAACGTGGTGTAGGGAATCTTCGGAAGCCATGTTCACGTTAAAGACCACGATGCCGGGAGGGAACCCGCTAAAATAACTATATGCTTATGATGAGCCAATGGAGAGATGGGGGGTTCAATAACTATGCACCATCGATATAATGTACTGGCTGTTAGATGCAGCTGTGTAGTAGAGATGAAAATAAAACCAGTGAATTGTAGTTAGTTAACTAAAGGCGTGGCCCGAGCTCGGACTCCATGAAAGATTTTTAACTACCTAACCTACTATCTAATGGATTCAAGATACCAGCAGGTGGATTTATCAGTGACCCAGATACCTTACAACACAAACATGCTCTCCCAGAGACATTTAGTGACGTCGTTGAAAGCGTTTCGTCTTTTTTCTGCTTCCGCCAGATCCTCTCTGGATTTGGCACATCATGTCTTTCAAAAACCCCAAGCTGGCGAATCCAACGGAAGACCGATTATATTCATCCATGGCCTCTTTGGATCCAAGCAGAATAACAGGGGCATGAGTAAGTAAGCAGACACCGCTTGTCTATTTTCGACATGCTACACTTATATACTGATGCAATCCGTACCTGGCACAGGGTTTTGGCAAGCCAACTGGGAACTACGGTCTATGCTATTGTGAGAGAAGCATGCATATTAAATTGGGCGTGGATTTCAGACGAGATCTCAACATTGACAGGATTCATAAATTAGGACCTTCGAAACCATGGTGATTCACCGCATGTACCGGAGCATAACTATGATGTTATGGCGGATGATGTTGAAAATTTCATAAAGAACCGCAACCTGAAGAAGCCAGTACTACTGGGTCATTCAATGTTGGTGCTCAAGTGTATCATCGCCCCTGATGGAACTACAAACCTGCTAATAACTGCATTAGGGGAGCCAAAGCAGCAATGCATCTTGCTCTCCGTGCTCCGGATCTGATCTCTGCAATTATATCCGTGGACAATTCGCCAAACAAGACTAAACTAAGTGAAAAATTTCCGGCATATATCAAATATATGCAGGAAATTGAAAATGCTGGCGTAACCAAGCAGAGTGAAGCAGACGAGATTCTGCGGCGTGTTGAACCGGTGTTTTTTTTTTTTTTTCATTTGCTGCCCCTACAATTCTATGCGTGCACCCTGGCTAACACCTAGCTAGTCACTTCCTATTCGGCAGTTCCTTCTTACAAATCTCGCCAGGGAGCAAAACGGACAGGCTCTACGGTTCCGAATCCCGTTGGCAATTCTTAAGGAATCATTGCCACATCTAGGAGACTTCCCCTTTACTCAATCAGATACCGTTCAATTCGGCGGTCCAGCTCTCTTTCTTCGTGGAACTCGAAGCCGATATATCACAGACAAGTCGTTTCCTATTATCCGACATTTCTTCCCGAACTATAAGCTAATGGACGTTGATGCTGGTCATTGGCTAATATCGGAAAACCCTAAGGCTTTCAAAACAGGCATGTCAACCCGGTGCTAGTTGATTTTGTGACAAGCTATTACTAACTTTTGAAATAGCCGTCGTGAATTTCATGAAGTCTCTTGATTAAGCGCTGAACTACTCACCATGACATTCATTAGTGTAGTTGTATCGTGTTCGAAGAGATTAAAACTAGATCATAGAGACGGAGCATTTTGGCTTAGATATCTTGGTGGCCATTATATATTACCACAGTGGTACAAGTGGTATTGGTTACAACTAAGACTTGGTAAGTTTGGAAAAATACAGGTCATAGTTGGCTTTTAATCATGAACTGTTTGGATAAGGAGGCATAAAGGAGGTTTGGTTAACATGGTCAAAACACCGAGGAGAGGGTACAGAAAAACAATTAAACAGCAGCGCCCTTTGTTATTTCCCCTTGAAGTAAAGAAATAAGCTCTGTCATTTATATCAAGACCATACACAAGGGAGGATGGGCGTTGAATTCATTAATTGTTAATTCCCTCCCAGCTCTTAAATATGACCTAACACTGACCACGACTCCTCCCGCTGTTATTTCCGTGGTAGTAAAAGAGACATTATTTTAGATGCTTAGACGCTGTCCAAAACCTTCTCCTTGAATTCTCGCTCAACCTGTTGCAGATAAGTTAATATTGATGCTGTGGGGGAAAAAAGGAAAGAAAAACAAGTAGTATATAGAAAGATTGATTGACTTGACTAACCTTCTGTCCCTTGTCATCAGTGCTGGACTCGCCGTGGAGAGCCAAAAGAGCACCCAAGTCGAACTTGGGTGACTTGAGGAGCTTAACCTTACGGATGTGAACCTATTTATCGCATATCAGCACAGATCTCATCTTGTATAATTCAGCAGAATAAGGGGGCTAAACGCACGTTCTGGAGAGGGTAGATGCCCTGGGTGGACTTCTCGATTTCGCGACCAATAACCTCGGGGACGAGCTTAGTAAGCTGGGTAAGAGTGCAGCTGGATGCCTGGCGCTGCATGATCTCAGTCATCTTCTTACGAATGGCACGGATCTGAGAGCTCTGAGCATAGGTGGTCTTCTTGATCTGGTTTGGTCGTCGCTTGGTGAAGGCAATGGCGAAAAGGCGGACGAGGTAGTCATCGGTGGTCTTGACGGTGACATTGGCCTCGATGAGGGTTTGCCATTTGCGGACAAGAGATCGGAGCTTGTCAGATGTGAAGTCCAATCCGTGGAAGTTGGTCAAACAGTTCTTTCCCTGGACTTCATCGACACGTAGCTTGACCTTGCGGAAGGAGTGGGCTTCATCCTTCTGGAGATCGGCGAGAGAGACCTCAAAGACACGGCCCTTCAGGTAGTCGTTTGCGTTCTTGAGACCAGTAGTTCGGTTGACGAGGGTTTTACCAACACTTTACACAAATCGAGATCAGCTCGCTTGTTCTTCTGCATTGAATTCCGGGTAGGAAGGGGGGTTTTCAATTATCTAGATGGAGGGTCATACTCTCGGACTTGGAAAGTGGTAGGGGCCTATATTTATTTCGACTCGTTAATCATCCATATTCCAGTGCGATTAAGGTCACGATATCGAAACCATCAAGGAGTCAGCACATACCTTGACAAGGTACTCGTCCTTTCGTGTGAAAGGGTCCACGGTTCTCTTCTTGAGACCCTTCTTGCCCTTCGACAGACGCTTGTTCCTGGTTTCCGCGGTGGTTAGAGAGATTTCCTGGCGGCGGTAAACACGCTGTATAGAAGGATATGCTCACTTTCCAACAGCCATGATTGCGATTCGGGGTCTATCTTTTGCAGTTCCGAAAGACAGACAATCCGTTGGGCGTCGATGGGTTCAAATCGTGGTGGACGTTGTCGGCGTTGTGATATTGAAATCAAAAAAATCCCACAAACTTCCCACTAAGCGAGTTGTGCGCGCTAGCCCATTTTCCGATTGTGTGATTATGTAAGGCGTAGGGATAAGTTTCGCGCTAAACCGAATATAGACACGTGAAAAAATTTGTCATGAGATGATTTGATTATGTAATTCGTATCAACTGAACTCAAAACTCGCTATATAGAAAGTGCACAATTCGTATATCAAGAAAAGTCCAAAGATGCAACAACCAAAGCCTGCCCTTCTAAATAAGACCGTAGACGGAGGTATTTGAGAGTGCAAGAGTCACCCCGAGTGAAGGATTCAGCCTGTCGAAAGTGCCGGCTTGATCGATCAGTGCTAATAGAGTGTTAGAACGGTGAAGGTATACACCACATAACTTTCCCGGATAACTTACATCAACATCATCCCACTGACGTCCTTGGACATTCGAAAGCTCTTCTAAATTCATGACTTTACCGCTTGTGACTATGGAGATTTAAAGTTAGTCTGAGCATGGCTTAGGTATGTGGAGCTGAAACTTACAGTAACCAGCATGGATCTTTGCATCGATCTCGACTCTGCTGTCCTCTGGTATCAAGTTGTCGGGAATGGGTACCCGTTCAATGATTGGAATGCCTTGTTCAACAATTGCATCGTGTTTCATGCTGGGTAAACATTAACCCTACTCGGGCACTACAGTCTTGACCGCGAAATACTTACTTGGACATGCTGAGCATTCGATCAATCTTGGTGATACCCAACCAATGCAGAATCTATGCCATGGTTAGATGGAACGTTATTGGAGACAGTCTTAATACTTACATCTGGCATTAAAGCTTGGAAGCGCATATCCTACTATTTATTAGCACACTATTTGGACTATGAGTGACACAGGATGTACCTTAACACCAGCGATATTCTCTGTTCTCTTGAAGTACTCGCTTGCACCTTCAACAGGGTTAGTAATACTCGAGAAATTGGAAAAATGAAAGACATACGATCAGAACCTCGTTTACCTGATGGACGTTAGTCAGCGTGCAATTCAATGGTAGATGAACGGAGTGAACTTACGGGCATTATAGACCAGATATTTCGTGACTTCACCGAGTGCTCGTCCTTCCTTTCGGAAATATATGACCACACCACTGCCACCCTTCTGAGCTTCCTTCACAGCTTCTTCGACTCCAAAAATCAGGTACGGACGACAGGTGCAAATGTCGGAACCGAACACATCACTACCGTTACATTCGTCATGGACGCGCAGAGCAAGCTTGACATTCGGGTCGGACATCTTTGCGGGGTCGCCGAAGATATACACTGTCAGCCCTCCAATTGGCGGCAGGAAGACTTTGATGTCTCCTCGGGTAATGAGTTCTGGAAACGATCCACCGGTGACCTCAAAGAGTGCACGCCGCAGAGTGCCCTCATCTACAACCAAAGCAGTTAGCACAAGCTAAGAACAAGCGGAAACCAGAGGACAAACCTATGCCAAACCGTTCAGCCACACCAGGAAGGTACCAGACTGGTTCTACAGCGACCTTGGTAACAGCCAACTCTCCCGTCTCATTGAGACAAATTTTCCCATCGGGAACTAGTCTGCCTGAACGAACACTATCAGCAAGCTCCGGCAATTTCATGTGCGCTCGAGTGATGGCGATGGTTGGACGGATATCCAGCTGATGGTCTGTCCTCAATTCGTCGAAGAGCCATGGGGCAAGATGACCCCACGGGTCCATGGCAACTATCTTTTTCTTATCGCCCCATTGCGGGAAAGGCCCAATCTTCGTTGCGGGTTCGGTATTGGTAAAATCAGGTCTATGTTCGGTATCTAGATTGTTGCTAGCGACTGCGAGAGCATGGTAGATCGAGTAAGATCCTCCGTGCGCCCCAATGGCTACAGGGCAAACGAGGCTTATTAGCGGTGAACCTTTAAACGTTCAAGGAGTGACGTGTCACCTTACCATTTCGTCTTCGAACAGTATCATACTGTCTGCTGACAACAACAGGCCCTCTGGCCCTTGGATCCATGTTACCCCAGTCCATTTTGATAGGATCAATACCTGATTGACCTGGATAGGTTGTGAGAATTATGCGAGATGTTCCACCACGCTTTGGAGATTTAACTGCGGTGGGTGATCTGGGCACACCCGTTGTGTCCTCTGCAGCAGACCTCAGACGCCCATCCTCCTGAGCACCTGATGTAGGTATTGATTCTGGTGGGAATTCTCTATCCAGTGATTGCTCCTCTGTCATCATCTTCGCAATATCCTTGTTGAAGGATATGTTCTCGATACGCCCATTGATTGCGTCCAAAAGGAGACTTAGCCTTCCATGGTCAAGCTCGAGTCTCTTTACTGCCGCCAGTACCTGTGCGAGGATAGGATTCTCTTTCTCATCAGCTGTCTTGAATGGTGGATTCTTCGAGGTATCAGGGTTTCCTTGCTCAGTCGGCGTCTCCTTCGGCGCCGTCGGTTCGGTCTGTTCGCCTTTAGACGTCATTACTGATCCTAATTAGGTCAGATAGATAGTGTAGGAGTTCGCCCGAGGAATAGAATTCTGTCTGTGTGTGCGAGAGAAGCTCTATCAGGGGTCACCGCTTGTAGGAAAGACAGCAATTATCCAGTAGCTAGAACCAACTCCAACGCCTGAGCAGGGAGAAGAGGCCTTATATAGCCAGAAATTTAAGAAATGACTGGTTATCAAAAGAAAGGAAAAGAAGTAAGAGGAAGAAGAAGTTGAAAGCTACATAGAAGTGTCCAGCATCTTTATATCCTTAGAGGAACTAAAGAAGTAACACTAGTCTCGTGATGCGGGGAGTATCAGCTTCCTTATCTGGAAATTCTGATTGGTCTCAGCTTTAAAGTGGGTCAAAATGATACACTAGTCTTGTCCTGGACTAGCGGAAAACTTAAGCCTTTCTTTAGCTTAGTCAGTTTGACGTTTGTTCAAAGTCACAGAGACAGTTGCGACTTCGAGCCAGCAAAAGAGACCTAAGAAGCAGCAGGACTGATATCGTTAGAACCACTTCCTTGGTCGAGTACTTCCCGACCTCAAATACCAAACCACACATTACGAAGACACTTGAAAAGCCGTTACCTGGCTGGTTAGTGAAAGATTCCCCACTAATATCAGGCGAGCTACTCGATATGGTGCGAATTCCAGCTCTCTCTTTACAACCTATAAACCCGTGCTAAGATTCCTCTTCTGTTCAGGGAAAACGCAAGAAGTCATCGCGGAACACAATTAAAGGCCCCAAAAAGGTTCGCTCTCGCCTACCACCTTTGGTCCATTCTAAAATTTTGGGTGTGCGTGCTAACACTAGTTTTTTTGAGCAATACAGAGCGAGCCGCTTCCTACGACCTTCGACTGCCTATTCTGCAACCATGAGAACTGTGTGCTTGTGAAACTCAATAAAAAGCTGGGGTTTGGGAATTTATCTTGTAAAATATGCGGGCAGCGGTTTCAGACAGGCATCAACTGTATGTCTTGTGATCCTTTCCTGGCGCAGTATCTATCTGAACTAACCTCTGCCTTTTCCCCCTCAAATTATAGATCTTTCTGCGGCTGTGGATGTATACTCTGATTGGGTCGATGCTTGCGATGCCGTTGCGAAAGAGGGGCCCAAAGAAGGGACGGGGTCTAGTGGTGGCAGAGCGGATCATGATGGCCCTTCTGCTTCTGCCGCGCCAGCTATAATTGATGAAGGACTTGACGATGACTACTAGATCCTATTCTGTTCTCCTCTACCTTCTATCCGCGGGTATTTTCTTTTTATTTGGCGTTCAGGATGGGCTTCTTTTCTGGGGCTAAGTGGCATATTTATCTGGGCACATGCATACATATAATTACGGAAACCCTTAATGGAGTCATCATTTTCGTTCTAAGATATTTCATAATGATATATTGATGTGTGTGACAACCTGGTATTTAGCCATCAGATTGGTACCATTCGAGCTTCAAGCTCGGCTTCACCGGACAGGGGATGACACCCGACACCACCATACACTTCAACATCCCATAATTGCAGAGATACCATACACCCTAAAGAGTATAGTATCTGTCTCCAAAATCACCCAACCCGGGTATTATATATCTAAAATGTGGGGGTTAGCAATGTTGAGCATTAACAAAGTGCCAAGTATGACGGAAGACGAACTTCTTTTCATCCAACCCTTGATCGATGAACGCGGTAACAACCCTGAGTTTTGGGAACCTCTCAGCAAAGTCAGCAACTCCCGATGGGCTGGCAATGAGATTTATAAATAGAATGTGGTCTTCTGGTACGCCCTTTGACTTTAGAACTTCAACCGCCATGGTAGCAGAGCCGCCTATTTCGAGTCTGATTAGTATATTGTAAACAGTTGAGACATCGCTGTATGGAAAATCCGCTACCAGCTGATCCTTACCAGTAGCAAACATCGGGTCAAGCAACAACACCCATCTCTTTGATATATCCTGTGGCAGTTTTTCATAAAATAGCGCCGGTTTGCATGTCTCCTCATCCCTTTGTATCAGAATCTTTCCAATCCGAACGGATCTACAGCAGTCACGAAGACCCTGCTCCATTGCCTCGCCGGCACGCATGATGGAAACTCCGCATATTTTACCCTCGAACCCAACTCCTCCATAAGTATGGCCGACTGGGGTCGTGACCGTCTTCTGCACGACAGGGAGATGATTCAGCCCTTCTTCGACGAGTAGACGGATGATACGATTAGAGTAAAAGACAAAATCTGCTCGACAGGTCCGCTGGTCTCGGATCATACTGTTTTTATCCCGAAAGCAAGTTAACCAAGAGTCCAACTGCTCATTAAGCTAGATAAACTCACGTCAAGAGAGCAATTAGCTGCGGTGTCTGTGGTAGCACACACACATTCTCATATTTCACGGCTTTCGACACAGTAGCAAGCGGTTTTTTATCATCTGGCATAGATAGTGGCCCAACTCCCCTGACTGGTCCAGGTTCGTTGGATGCCATAGTGATTGGTTGATATAGCTTTCCACCAGCTTCGACGTGGACAATAGACAACAGCTCCACCTATCCCAGAACACCCCTAGCAAAACCAAAGTGCGATCACGAAAGTATATAAGTATATAACCGCTTCACAAGCAGCTCCGTATGATATCAGAAAGTTGAGGAAATTTTGATAATCACTGCGTGGGGAGAAGAGCTTTGTTTAACGAATGATGTTGTTCAACTTATGTGCGGGGAGGCGCTTAAGCCATGTGATGAGGCTTGAAAACAGTCAAGACAACTCGCTAGCTATTATATAAAAAGCGAAGAATACGATGACGGTGAGTGTATCCTCGAGAGCGAGCTGAGGACATATTCTACATTGAGTTACTTTACCTCTCGAGTTATTGTGCTCTCGGTTGTTGTTTTTGTTGCTGCGTAAACAAGAGGCACCTGAACGTTTACCCTATTTAGACAGGCTAGATTAGCCTTTTGAAAATATTTTGCAGGAGACCCCAGAGGTACGTCTACCGTACAAAGATTTTGGTCTGATACTGGAGGCTTTGCTGGTATCTTAGACCATGCACTTGAAGTAACAGTCTTCAGTCTTTGTCTAGGTTTAAATAATCCAACCTACGGCGGAGGATGAGGCTGAACGAGATCACGGGGTTTAGCCACTTTCGACAGGTTAACTTACAGACCAGCCCACCAGTTACAACTACCATCGCTGCCAACAACATTATCAACAACTACAGCTATATAGCCGGCCTCAATTCACACAAGGACTCGGATGAGCCGATTCTAATCTAATAGATGTTCATTGGTCAAGCTGTATGAGGGTATTTTGCTGAATTTTTCATGGAGATACTGTAGCGGCAATTTATCGGTACTGTCTATGCTATCTTTCATCTACTAGAATGCGCCGTACGCGTTTGACAGACTGTCGCTGTCGCATACAATGCAAGAAAGTGAAGAGCTAATGAATATTTATACTGATTTATTAGGCCAATCTACCTTCACAAAGTAAGATACGAGCGGCCTTCCGATGACAGACCCTTTGATCCGTTACTGCGCGCAAGTTTGCGCTACCTTCCATCATACGGCTCGGCCTCTATAAAGTCTTAATTTGGCCTTACCTTTGCTTTCCTACCAAGTTCTCGAAAGGAGAAACGGGGTTAGACATGCCTACAGCCGACAAATTCACGCCATCGCGTAATATACGGACCTATGGTAAACAGGCGCGCAGTGGAGGAAGCAGGTTCCTGGAGCGCATTCCCAGTGACGTGAATAAGGCTCACGCGAAAGTAAATGATTCCCCGTTGGCAAAAAGAGGGCAGGCGGTGGTGACTAGGAAAAGTGACGTCCGAGATATGGGTTCTTCGACAGCTATGCGCAATGCGACATCGCCCACAACGCCGCGTACTCCCAAAGAGAAGAAGGAATTCGACATATATGATGTTCAGCTGTCCGACGAGGACCGTCAAAGCCGCTCTCAGCCATGGCTTAAACGAAGGAAACTGAATACGCCCAAGGCTGTCTGGCGGTCAGAGGAACTCGATCAGGTTGCACCAAAGAACACCCCGCCACGGAAAGTGATCACTTATGATACTGCCAGTACCCGTGGGAGCAAAGATGCGGCGTCTCATTCTATACATGAGAAGAAACTTCCTGAGGTTGAAGTAGTCATCCGCTCCCCGACTAAGTCTAGACGGGATTTTAAGACTCATACCTCGAAACAGAATTTGGAGAGATCTCCCTCTAGATCGACAATGCAAGGTGGTGCTAGCAGTACCTCAACGAACGCGCAGTTTATAGCTGCAAGTTCGCGAGATCTTCCAGTACGGGAACGACGACTAACCACGCCACCGAAAAAGGTGCCGCGATTGACAAAGTCTTTCTCTACGGGTACAGACCGACTGAGGAATGCCTATGACCGTTTTGGTATTGGAATTGGGGAGGGGCGTGATAACCCTGCAAAGACGATCACATCTACTGCGGAACGAAAACGGATAGTTGATGCATTAGGCGGAAGACAGACGGCAGATTCTTCGAGTGATTCGTCGGGTGACGAGGGATCTGCTAGGCACCGGATTTCTCGGGCGAACTCCCATAGCCCAGTACAGTCCGCTGACCAGCAATTTACAGTTGATACCATGTCATTAGATGATGCGGGAGCTACATGTTCTAAAGGTCAGAAACAGCACAGCATTCATAAAGCAGTCACAAGCGGGCTAAAGGTGACTTATTCTCGACAACGATCCTTTCTAAACGAGATGGACACAATAGAGGAAATAGGTGGTAATCTATTTGATTCTGGGTTCCCTCCTCCGTCTGAGTCAATGGCAAGCAAGATAAGTGGCTCTTCAAGCCAGTCACCATTTGGCCTGGCACGCCAAACATCCGCACTTTCGGCCTGCTTGGAAGAAGAAAGCATGAGCGGCCCAAGTACGATACGGAGTATTCATGAACTCCGTCGTTCCGGAGATAATGCAAGATATCATGCCATGATCGACACCGTCTTCGAAGATATTGAAGACAAAACAGCTTCTATATCCAGACAACGTAGCGGAATGGTTCAGTTATGCACAAAGCTCTTTGACGCTCAGTTTTCGCAACGCTTCCTAAGCAATGCCTTAGAGAAGCGATTTTCCAAGATAAAGCGCAGAGAATTTGATCTAGTTCGCGGTTATCTTACTTCTTGCGTCTATGCTTTATTGTTAAGCTCTGGTTCGATATCACCGATGACGTTACAGGATTGCTGGGCACACATTCTTGCAGTGGCTCCATCCTTACTCAATGAGGGGAAAAGCATGATTGAACTTGCCAAGCGGAAGGACTTGAAGATGACGAAGGCTGGTAAAGCGGATATCCAGGATATTTGCGACAAGTTAACAGCAAGCAAGATCTGGAACAGCCAAACACCCTCCGTTATAACGCCCCAAATATTGACACTTCGTTGCCTCGAGTTATCTGTCCGCAAACTCCGCGAGACGGGTAACTCTATGGAAACTATGCCTGTTTCTATCTTGCGCCAGGTTATCCGTATTCTGATCCAACATGCGTTGATAGAAGATATCCAGGGAGCAGGCCCAGATGAACTTCTTATTCTTGAACTTACACTTTCAATCCTAGAGTCATATACTATACACACCATATCATTGGACGAAGAACAACAAGAAGCACTAAAACCTCTTTCAAAATTGGGCCACTTACTATCAATTTTAGGGCACCAGCAAGACGTTCGATGCAGGCAGATCCAAATTCTTGAAATCCGACTAATTCTCAACGTTACCAACAACAATCCCACCCTCTGTGAGGAATTTTCTACCCTCAAGTTTATCGAAGCGCTCGCTCATATTGTCATTTCCAACTTCCAATCCGTTGGAGATGAAACCATGGGACCTCATAAAGAATCATTGCTGGATACAGTGATATTAGCACTTGGCGCCCTGATAAACCTTACTGAATGGAGCAGGGCAGCTCGATGTGTCTTGCTTGAGTCACGGGTAGATAATATTACATTGATTGACAGGCTTATTCCACTATTTACCAATGGGCTAGAAGCCATAGCAGAGGTGAGTGATTCGTACCTTAGTTTCCAAGGTAGAACTAGCTTTCTGTGGGGGTTTCCCACGTTGACACACTTTTTCTAGGCTGATTCTGTGGTCCAAACGCACTCCAACGTTGCATTTGGATATTTATCCGTCCTACTTTGCACTGCTTCTCTTGATGAGGAGGCACGTTCTTATCTACGCTCAACCATACAGCCTCGTACTTTTGAGCGTCTTCTAGGCACGGTGGAGGAATTCCTTCATTATCATCGGAAAGTGGAGGATGAGCTTCATGAAGCTAGAGGGGATGCGGAAGATGCAATGACAGGATTCACGTCTAGGCTTCAGGGGATCGTTGATCGCATACGTAATGCCGACAGAGCTTGAAACCAGGGACGGATGGTGTCAACGATATTATGAACTATGTGATATAGATTATGGCAATTTTTGTTAGATATTCTTACTTATATCCCTTGTTTCCTCTGAGAATTGGAATGTGACCAGATTCAATGTGGTTCCCAAAGTACTACTTGATGTATAGAGCCACCGCACCTACTGCATGTTCAGCCTCCGTAGCAATCCGTATAGCGACTGCACTTTTTGGCATGGGCTCCATAGACTATGTATTTCAAAACATCAAGTACCTCTAAAGAATAGTACTAACAAGTAGATGTAGTTAAGTAGCTTAGGTAAATTCAAGGGTTAAATTGATCAAAAGGAGCCGTTATAGTTTTCGAAAGGCGTTATGTATCAAAGACAAGGCGATGAGGATGGTTACAATTTATTCAACACATGTAAAATTTCCATTATAGAACAGTCGAAGTTTACCAACTGCCAAAACCTTACAACTATCTACACTGCGTATTGAACATGTCGAAAACTGTGGCGAGAAACCGAAGTAGATAATACCCCACGCAGCCTCTTGTCGGGCCGTTCCGCAACTCGACATGCCAAGAGCAACCTTGGAGGCTTCAGAATGAATGGACAACTTCGTAGTCACTCTCTTCTAAATTGAAGCTGAGATAACATACAATGAAAGGTTGAGTTGATCAGCTTACAAAAAGAGCCACACTTAGAGCTCGGCCTGCATTGATATTGAATTCGGACGACAAGCCTGAGGACCAGCAAGATTACGTTGCGTACCACACCGTATTCAGTGTAATGTTACGGAGTAAAACCGAGAGATCTCCCCATCCGTCATAAAATCCCAGGACTTCAGCCTTTGCACATCTCTTGCCCTGCCTGTCCAGCGAGATGCGCAACTGTGGAAATCACGGCATTTGGTTGAGGCTGTTCCATGCTCGTTTATCGGACGAACCTCGGGATAGCCAAAAGGGGTTTACTGACTAAGCAATGTCAATTATCACATGATCGGAACTTCCGAAGGGTCACGTGCAAGCGTTAGTATTTGAATTGTAGGATCACTGATATGGTTCGTTGATTCCAAAAGCCCCAGTTTCGTTCTTCAAGCATATCCAAGGCATTCAAAGCTCTTGGGGGTGCCGTGGCAATGACGAGGAATGGTTGCTTGACTTACTCAAATTCCCAGTGTTCAGGAAAGCCAAGAGATCACCAGGAGCTCCGAGGCATGAAAACAGCGTCAGAAAATAAGTATCAAATAGAGCGGCCTTTGAAGAAAGTTGATGTCGAATATATTGGTAGCATACGTGTTGATGACACAGACCCCTCCTTAGAAGATATTTCCCCGAATTTGAAGTTGAAATAAGCAGTAGCTAAGAGTAGTAGAGTAGCACCCCTCTGTCTCAGATGCCTGCAAGACGTTTGAAGCGAAATTAGATTTCCCACGGCCCATACCGACGGAGGTTGTCTTAACAACAACTACCTTTGAACGTCCAGGGTGGAAATATTTTTTAATGGCTAAATCGACTAGAATCCGGGAAGCTCCGTGGGATAATAAACAGGTAGTTAAAGTTCCGCTTTCTCCGAACACATATCCGAATGCAAGTTAAGAACCAGCGGGACCCCCTATATGTCGCATGTCAGGCACCTAGCTTTTAGTGTTTCCGGGTTCGCGGAAAGAGGGGCGCCAGCGCTGACGAATATATATCTTTCATGAATAATATGACTGCAAGGGGAAGGAGGAAAAAGGAATTGGAGTGCAGATATCTGACTGCTTGAATAATGGGTCGTTGGGATACAAAAGGCAGATGGCCCACATCAGGGTATGATGCTTAGCAGGTGTATACGGAGTACTCCGTAGTAGTAGTTAAAACTTCAGCATCATTCGGAGATAGCAATCGTTGTGGAGATTCTTTTCTGCCTAACAGTCGGTTAGCCGGCGAGAGTGGGAGCTCCATGACGAAGAAGTGGAAGGATGTCGCATGGCCTTTTTCTCTGAACCAAGCCAATGCTGGACAGGAGTTAGGGGGGGCCATATCGTAATGATAAATCCTTTTAAGGGTGAAGCATGTAGCTGATATATGTAGTGTAGTTAACTTATATGCCGCCCCACAGCCTGTCCCTAATTGCAACGACAACTCGAGTAAAAGGCGGAGGAGAACCCCAGCCATGCCTTGGTCTGGTGGCCGAGCGGAAGAAAGCAGTCCATCCCACTGCTGCGTTCTCAGTACTAGCGGAGTAGCTTATTATTGCTGGAGATGAGGGCGTCCGGAGAGTGCGCATCGCATCTCAGCATACCACGGACGGATGTCTGGGTATATCCCGTGGCTGATCTACGCCCTCAAGCGCCAACACGGTCGAGAAGGCGGTGGCAAACGCCCTGTGAGTTCAACAGGTCTGTCGAATGGGAGAATAGGCAGCTTCGGGGCCAAGGCCACGGCCAGCCATGTCGTGCAAAGACAGAGCAGCGAATGGAAGATGCAAAGTCGAAAGTCGACGATGCGCACAAGAAGAGCAAAGGCCGAGACGCAGCCAGAGCTGGAGAACCTAAAGAAGTGCTCACGTGAGGCGGCTGAAGCGTCCTAAAGCAGCAGGTCGAACGTCGCCTCTTCAACTTTCTCGCATCCACGGTTGGCCAGCAGCTCCGTCCCTTGCGCCTCACAGCCACTCTCCCGCTTCCCCAGCAGCAAAGGGATGGGCAAAAAGGATAGACAGAGAGATGGATGCACGACGGCGCTTCCGGTAGCTGGATGGCCGTCGCGCAGTGCGGATACGACAGATCACCTTGCAATAATACGCCACCGGTCTTGCAGCTGCACTGTTCACGAACAACCTAAGACAGGCACCGGAAGCCAAAATGAACGAACTCGCAGGAAGGCAAGGAGACTCGCAAAATAAGTCGAGGCGGATGTACGGCGGTGGATCAGGTTCTGGGGCCGTTCAGCTGACCAATGCCGATCCTTCGGGATGGCTTCTAGAAGGCGACGCGAGCTTAGCTGTGTAATTATCACGCAGGGAGAAGGGGGTGTAGAGGTAACTTAGTTACACGGGTGTGTAACTGGGCATGTAAGAGTACAAGCAAAGAGCCTGCAGGCAGGAGACGAGCAGCCGCAAGCAGAGCGGGAAAGGGGAGGAGAGGAGAGGACGCGAGAGGTCGAGGCATGCCCATCCCAAACGCAAGTTATGACAAGTTTACTGATGAACGCTGGCTAGAGGATTTTAGATTTCCAGGCGTTTGTCTACTGGGCTCGATCTATCGGTTTATTTAGATCTCATCTGATCCAAGCATCTGGGAACAGGTCAAAGCAGGATTTTTCTTTTCTTTTATTTTTTATTTTTTATTTATTTATTTATTTATTTATTTATTTATTTATTTATTTATTTATTTATTTATTTATTTATTTATTTATTTATTTATTTTTTTTTTTTTTTTTTTGGTGTCCATGAAAGAAGGCGGCCAAGGCTCTGCTATGTACCTACCAATGGAAAATGGAAGCAAAGACGCGGGAGAGAAAAGTAAGGTGAGAGCAATGAGAAAATACGGCGAGAGGGCCGCCAGCTTGACGGGCGTTTCAAGAGCTCCCTGTATCCCTGTGCAGGCTATTTCAAACTGGACTGACCGGTAGATAGATCACAGAAGCAACGAGGTAGGAAGAAAAGGATAGCAGCGCTTCAAAATGAGAAGCCAGGAAAAAGCGAGAGGCAGAGGGAGCATGCCAGGGCCCAGGACGGCATCACCCGGGGGGGGGGGGTCTAGGAGAGCCTCGGCGGTCTCGTCTCAGGCGGCAGAGCGAAGCAAACAAGACGCTATGCATGGCCGAAACTCTTGCTGCGCGTCCTTAAAACGGTGGCCAGCCCGCGGAGTGTCTTGCTTTGCGAAAAGGGCCCAGACGCCGGGTTTTTTCACGTGGAATATTACGGGGTTGGGCTGTCCATGTATTCCGCTGGTATAAGGCCGCCATCCGGTATCTAAACGGCCAGGGGCCCGCGAGCGAACTCCACGCTCCATC